ACAGTAAGATTAATTTATCTGTTTCTTATTATTTGGTTTTATGTGTTTAGATGCAATTAATTTAATGACAATTGTTAGTTAGTTGTAAACGCATGAATCATGATATGCCCTTCGTGAATTTGACAGATAGGTAGATAAATAAATAAATTAATTAATAAATAGGAATCACTCCTCGGTGATGACTATTGCATATGTACTTGTAAAACAAGACAATCGGCAGGAGGAATGAATAATCATTGCGAAAATTGATAAAGTATTTATATAGTACATATATATAGCCTTCGATCACCCACTGGCAACTTTTGGTGTGTTCTAGAATCTGAACTATCTTCTTGTCCTGTTTCCAAGTGTTCTGACAACGCCGTACTTTCCATACAATAAAACTCTTCACTCCGTTTGACAAGTGTTGTAATTTCAACATCAACCCCGCTACACACTATTTGCAAACAGTCTTGTGAGTAGCATCCACTACATAATTACCCTCTGAGTAAATTTATTTTATTGTTTGTTGAGGAACAGACAAGTCTATTTAATTATGAGTTCTGGTGAAACTTTTTCAAAAATTTAAGTACTAAACACCAATGACGAAACCTTGGATACTCGAGTAACTAAAGTTTACTTTGAATTGTAATAATTATCTTTAAAATCTAACAGGAAATTTCACTAAATTAATACCGTCTGAAAAAACTTTTATGAAAATTTCAATATGATAAAACATCATTAGCAAACATAAGCATAATCTAATCGTGTATGTGATTATTAAAGAGGATGGTTTGGATAGAAAGATCGATTCAAAAAAGAAACATATTTTATTGAAAAATCCAACTGTCAAGCTGAATACTCTCTTCAACTGTACCTTCAATATTTTTCTACTGTATTAAACACTAAACGTTTCATCTGTCCTTATCAATAGATGTTTTTTATCAGTTGTACAGTTCTTAATAATCAGATTTTATAGAGAGAATAGTTTATGCTTTCTTTGACTATATTAGTGAAACATAAATTCAATGTGGATAGTATTTTATTCATATAACATATGACGTAGTAGAATCATGTTATCAAATCATTACATATCCACTATCTGACTATACCATAAAGGTCATTCTATAGTACTTCAAACAGGACTACAGTACTATACACAAAATTTGTACATTTTGTCATATTTCAAATAATATTATATAAATATTTCAAGGGGCCTGTTAAACATAAAGCTCAAACAACTCATTATTTGAAGAAACAAATAAGCAAATGAAATATTCAGTAGAATTTATTAGTTACCAAAATCTAAAAGTCTGTCCATAGAAGAAAGACTATAAAACATTAATCGTCGTTAATTCTGACAAAACAGAATCGTGATTGACATTTATTTATTCGTTATTTCCAACAAGTATTCGTTCCTTACAGATGAATCAGTAAAGAATTGAAATTAATTATACTCAAGTACATTTTTCATCATCATAGGATTAGAATTCACAAATAAAACGGAGTATGAATTAACACTTGTCATAAAACTATACTTTCTCCAAATCGATAATACTACGAGAATGTGCTCATCTGTACGAATGATTTTAACAGGTATCTCTAAGCTAATGAAATATTTCAAGAATCATTTTCTTTGTTCAAATAAATAAATATTATCGCTTAATTTCTAAACCTCTAGATTCTTCTAGCTGAACGTCAATTAAATTCTTCAATGTATTCCCTCATAACAACTACAAAAAGTGCTAAATTACAAAATAATCGAGGTCCATTACTGGAAGAATATCGACGACATTTAATGGGCTTAGCTTACGCAATTGCAGCTGATGCAAACACTTTATATACAACTGTTTATGAAAATCGCATTAAATGATTATACTGGACAAAAATGTCTTAAAATTATTACTACTACCTATTAATAATGGGGACATATTCCCTTTGAATATTCCTATAAATATTTGATTGTGAGGTATATTCATTTTTCTACAATGCTTTTTTTCTTCTGTGTATTTCTTCTTAACACTTGAGTTACTACCGTTTTCCTACATACTACTGAAATTAGTAGGCTGTACATTTGTATAAAAAGCAATAATAATAATAGCAATGAAGTAATAATGCAACAATTGCTTTTGTCTTTCATGTCACCTTTCTGTCATTTCTACAGTTAGTTTTCATTGTTCACTGGTTCTTTTTCCTGATGTCTTTTTTTACTTATATACAATTGTTGTAGAGTTTTTTTTAAAGATTATTTGTTGCGTTGTTTAAACTTGAAAATTATTCCCAAGTGGCTAGGAATCCTGATGGATAAAAGTCTGTAACAGAGCCGACGAAAATATAAGTTGACCTCAATTAACCAAAACATTTACTCGCTTAAAATATACATAAGGGTTAAGAATATAAATGTATATTATTACAGATATTCAAGGAACACAGGCATTTTAAAATTATTCTTATTAACTTCAACATTATTCACAGTTCGGCAGGAGAACCTAGCGCCTGTAAATCGATAACTTGATAAGCATTTGTTAGGGCTCCTGAACATTTTATCCATAACAAACTTAGCTAATTGGAGGTGCTCCATTAAATATCCTTGCTATTTCTCAAGAGGCTGCATTTGAGATGTTGCTTCTAACTTGCCGATGACCAATCTGAGAGTCTGCCTCACTCTACTACCAAGTATATCGCTTCTTCCAACCACCCTAGTATTCTGCATAATTCTTTTGAAACAAAACTCTAGAGAGAGTTTCATTTAGGTATCCGTATGTCAAAAACATCTGCAGCTCAAACTATACTGCACATTGGAATGACGGGTTGAACATATCACGGATGTTCAGTGATTGGCAAAACTCTTGCCCATAACTAGTTTATAATTGTGAATCCCAAACCCAGACAAACCAGGGGCCAGAAATCAAGGAATCCAAAGATAAACTTGGATGATGGTTGATATATCGAGTAGTACATGAAGAATGAGTAACAAAGCGTACCCTATTATGATCTGGTAAAGGTCCTATCATATAAAGATTAACGTGATCGAAGTGAGCATCAAGTGTTGGGAAAGATCCTCGCTATGGTTACAAGTCCGTAATCACGCTCTGAGGAGACAACCAGGAGCGAATTTAAATTAAAGGTGTAAACACTTTATATCAAGTGAGGCATAATGTTCATGACGTGACATTTCTATTGGTTGATTGTCGACTCATCGTCTATTCCCCATTCGTCTATTTTTCCAAGTTTATTTTGAAGCTCAGCTGAGTCCTTTTCGCTTTCTATGAACCTCCAGATCTTTGCGTTGTCTGTATAGGTCAGTCCTACTGAATTAATTTCATCCAACATATCGTTAATAAAGATTAGAAGTAGAAGTGAACCTAAAATTACTGTTTGTGAAACCCCTGATGTTGAAACCTTCCTACTCGTATGCGTTGTTTTTACTTTGGTATGAAACATCTTGTTCCCTGGAGACTTTCGAAGCCATGGTAAAAGTCGGTCAGTGAATCCTATCTTTGTAACCTTCACTATGAAAAGTACGTAAGGTACTGCGTCAAAAGCTTTTTTCGAAATAGGGTAAGTATTTTAGTTTTTATCCATGTTTTCCTTAATTTGTTCAATGATCAGTCTTGTCAATGCCTTAAACGATATTAGAAGTAACGCAACTGGTCTGTAACAGGCTGGATTTTTTTCTATCGCTCTCTTTGAAGATTAGGGAGAGAGTGCCTAACTTCTATTGTTTTTGCAGCTGGTGGGACTCTAGTGATTGCTTGAACATGCCACAAACTGGTGTGCTGACGGCTTACGCTCACTATTTCAAATTTATAGGTCACATCCTGATGAAATTCTTAAGCGCACGGAATTTTATTTTTTAAATACTTACCTGTGAGTGAGTTGGACATCTCCCACACACGCAACTGGCACCAGATTTGAGAGGTATTTCACACTTGCAAGCACCCAGTATACTTGGGATATGAATTTGGCATTAAAGACCTCCATCTTCTCTGAATCGATGAGATGTCAGCAATTTGGGCTTTTAAGTATGCCTATCCCCTAGTTTGTAGGTTTATAACTGGTTATGAATTTGTACAGATATTTGTGGTTAGCTTACATTTTGACTGCTAGCTTAATTTGAAGACGTCTCTCAACTCTGAGTACTTTGGCGTTGCATCTGTTTCTCAATTCTAAGTAAGAGCCAACATCAACATCTTTTAGGAGGACCTTCCTCCCGTTTCAGGCTCTCTGTTTTGCAAATAACAAGCGTTCCACGTCTCACTTAACCCAGAATATTTGCCTTCCATGTGTGTTCTTTGTTCGAAGTACCTTGTGTAAGAGAGCGTTCTGATTGATGTCTCTTGCTATCTCCCGGGGGTCACTCAGTGTTAGCTTCTACCGCTTTCGGGTTCATGAGGCATATTGAAGATGCTTTCTCATGGTTCTACAGTCTGCCTAGGCGTAGATAATAATAAGAGTGTCGTCATCCCATTGAAGTATCCCGTTTTTTACCACGTCTAATGTGATTGTACTGTGTGCGGACATGGACATCCTCAACTAGGAGCTGGTCATTTGTCAGTAAATAATCTAAGTTTGAGAGTTTTCTATCTTTATCCTCATATTTTCAGTCAATTTCAAACTTCCAGTCGCTGTAAAAAGTTGACTTTGAAATCACCCAGTAGGAATTGCATCCTGTATACTGAGACTTAGGGATGAAGTACCTAAGCTTTCATTTAGTAGTATTTAGTCAAAACTCAGGTGCGATTGTTGCAAAATCGTCTGGATAGTCTTTATTTCGTAGTTGGTACTTGTGGGAGGGATGATTTATTATTCCATTTGCATCGAAGCAATACTATTACGATTGCGTCAGCTCACTATAGCGTTGTATTACGACTTTGAAGCGGCCGTTGGTGTATATCAACAATTAGCTTAACTTTTTTGTACCCTATACAATCGGAAGTGTGTCAACCCTTGAATGCTCACTTCATCGTCCGTAATATTGGTTAATTGGAGAATGAAAGGTTATCTGATAATGTCAAGCAATGCGGTAAATACTCTGAGTTACCCAACTATCCTACCACGATATTGATATCGCACTCCTAGAAGTAACCTTCGAAAAACTACATATCAGTAAGCATGTAGCGTGGTGTCGAGTCGAGATTGACTATGAGCACCACTACGGGGAAAGGCGTACCAAATCAATCAGAAGGCGAAGGTTGAACGTAACCAGATTAATTCGTTGGCGATCTCGTGGTATCGAAAGGATACCGAGATCGTGCCAAAAGGGTACAAGTGGAAACAGCGGGCAAGAGTACAAACGTACGAGGTCACAATCCGCGGAAACGTAATGGAGAGTAATGGAGGAGGAATGTGGCTGTCTTTAGCACAGATAAACAAAAGAGCACAGTAAAAACAAACACTGGTACAATTTGTTATAATAATAATTGTTTCAATTAAATCGGTCGCGTACTCGTGGTAAAAATAGGTCACTACAGAAGCCTCTCGCTAGAAGAGGTTTACATTTTCGATAAGTAGCAGTTTGATTCGTGGGACTGATGGGCAAGCGTGCGATTGTAGGACGAGAGGATTGGCGGAACAGGAGACGATCATTGATCCTCGAGTTGCCACCGACGGTCGTTTACGGAGAACGGTACCAGAAGTGAGCTGTATTTGCCGCTCGAATTAGCATGCCACGCCAGAGTGGTTTGTATCCAGGATCTGAAGATTGCGTTCGTAAGGACTCGAACCAGGAAACGCTGAAGGCGTAGGACGAAACCACAGTGAGCCGAGGAACCAGAAACGACCATGATAACCAGGTTCGAGGCCATACATATGCCAAACGTTCGAAACCAAAATATCGGCTGAGTGCGTTGACAAGAGCGTTGGTAGCCAGACCAGCTTTCGCCAAAGTTGACTGAAGTCGACGGTACCAAACGGGTGATGGTCGGAGGCGTGTGCTCAGGATACAAAAAAATCAAAAAGGGAAAAGGTGTAGCATGCATGTAGTATAGGAATAATGCTACACCGTATCCGTTAGTGACTGTGCGGTTAGTCGCGAAAGCGTACTGGCAAGCGTACTCGGCGACCAGAACGTGAGACGGTAGTCGCGTTCGTATTTCGTGAGCCTACAATCTCATTCGAAGTCAAGGGACGCGTGGTCCGCTGATCTGGACGTGAGGCTGAAGTCTCGTCCGTAGATGGTGCAGATGACACGTGCTGTTGACTGTGACGTGAGAATGAGGTCTCTAATGTATCTAGCGTGGGACCTGAAGAAGGTTTAAGGATCCCGCTAGTAGGTTTGATAGGTCTGGCATTGAGTCTCGAGGTATCGTGTAGAGAACTGTCATCGACGTGTGCTGGTGTGAGACTATCAATGGTGACGATCTTGACGCGGCCATGTCGACCAACCTTGAAGGTCTTTTCGTGACGGGAGATCACGTGAAAAGGTCCTCCGTAAGGCTGTTGCAATGGTTTGCGTACTGAATACACTCGTATGAAAACATGTTAACAGGTAAAGAACTCTTGGGGGAGAGCAACCTGTCGATGTTGTATACGAGTTGACACCGGAGACAGTGTTTGCATAAAAGCAGACAGTCGATGGACGAAGTCTGATTTACTGAAATCGTTACTGCTCCATGGTGTGAAAAATTCCCCAGGTAGACGCGATGTCGTGCAGTATAAAAGTTCAGCGGCGGAACATCGAATATCTTCATTTAGCTCGTTCTGATATCTAAGAGGACGAGCGGTAGGGTTTCGTACCAGTTGTCGTTTTCGTGTGCTTGTAGAGCACTTTTAAGTTGGCGGTGAAACCGTTCAGCTAAACCATTTGATGCTGGGTGGTAGCCGGTAGTGCGTATGTGTTCCGTACCAAACAGCCGGGTTAGTGGGAATAGTTATTTGGGGAAATTTCCCGAATAAAGCGTGGAATATATCATCACGTGAATGAAAGACACATAAGATTTGGTACGCGTACATCAGAGTTTATTATATTAATACTATTCTTATCGTTGTCCGTCATGTCGAGTATATTATGTATTGAAAAGTATTAATATAAAAATATACGACAGACGTTGATAGATAAACAATAAACTCACCGCAATCGACTTCTTTGGAAGATTTGACTAGAGGTTGAGAAGTGTTCGTACATTTGGGTTCACCAATTGTAGCGTGGTGTCGAGAAGCGTCTGACTATGAACACCACTACAAGCGAAAGCAAAAGTACACCCTTTCTTTATCCCAACAAAATTCAACTCTATCCGAAGCGTGCTTCGAGTTGAAGTAGACAAAGCCCCCTCTGTTGATACCTTCAAGAGGAGACGTGAAAAACACGTACTCACTGATGGATCATCTCCAAATGATATGCCTCATAACTTACCAACTGTCGTCATTACCACATTTTATGGACTTGTCCATTTGCCGAATATCATTATCTCCGTTCAACCTTTTGTTCTTATACTTCAACCTCCTCACACTGTTCGTACTACTAATTATTTAACTTATTGTGCATTTGTCTAGTTTTTTAACAACAGTCTCTTTTTATTTGCTTTACTTGTTTATTCTTCTTCACGTCAAAACCAATCAGCCAACTTCCTGCTTGGTAATATGACAGCCATTTGGTATCCAGAAAACACTGCTTCTCCGAGTCAGTCGAACTCACTCAAATTAGCGGTTTAAAAATCCCCATAGAATATTCAAAAATGAAGAATATTTGAGCGAATAATTGTTTTCAATAACTTCGTCATCAGGCTCTGCAGTTATAAGTCCATAATTATAATATTTTACAAAGGCCAAAAATAAGGCATTTATTAATGAATTTGACAATGTTATGTGTTAAAAATGGTGAACGTTTGCATCTGTTACGATATATATGTATACTTCAAAATTGTATTATTTGCAAATTAGAAAGGTCATTCACTAAAGGTCAGGATGATTTGGAATAAAGCGTTCAGTCACAATAAGTTTAATAGTATTATAGCGAAAATGAAAAGGCAAAAAAATTGTGTGAATAAAATGCATAGTAGGGGAATTTAATCTTGTCACTTGAGATAATAATGATAATGATGATAATAATAAGATTGTGGTGTGAATATAATATGTAATAAGGGGGGTGTTATCAAGGTAATTACGGTCAACAAATTAGGAATGATGAATATGAAGATTAAGATAGAGATAATCAAAAATAACGATACTAAGGAAAATAAATGAAATAAAGAAAGCGGGTAAGAGGTTTATAATATTCAGTCTAGGTATTCGGTGACCCAGTCGCAGGCCGAGGTAAATATAGAGGCCGGATATATTTTTTCATGATACATAAATTAGGTCTTCTGGAGTTGATCCAGATGGCTTCGGCTATGTAAAGCAGTCGTAATCTGGCTCCTTGAGGTAGATATTTTGGAACTTGATATAAAACAGAGAAAGCTCCCTCTATTTTGATATGATGTTCACTATCTACCAAGTGAGAAAGAATGGTGCTGTTAATCGACTTGGTAACTCCTTTTCCCAACCATGCTGGTACATGTTCATGAACACTCAAGGATAAAGCCCTCTGAGTACGGCCTATGTAACTAGCTCCACAGGATCAGTTGAATTGCTATACACACATGGAGGCGCCCACCTTCGGTAACCTATCCTTGATTAGTTGTGTGAGTACAGGTTTAGTCTAGAAAATTATATGTAACTTGGCGGCATGAAACATCCTTTCGACAGATCTTTTGAGTCGACGTGTTAGAATATCACCCGCAATGTCACCTTTGAAGTCAAGTCTCAGATATAAGGTCTTTTTTACTGACTGTGTCGCAATGTCTTCTTTTTTTATTAGTATTTTGTACGAGGTATTTTTTGACGAAATTATCAGGATAGCTATTATTTCGTAATGTGTTCTTTAGTATATCTATTTCGTCATCTACACTGTCTTCAGAACATAATAACTTGATTCTGTGGTTGAGACACTTAACCAAATATATTTTATATTGAAGAGGTGTGAAGCTTTGGAAATTACATGTACAAATCTCCAAAGATCTTCCAAAGTGACTATAATTAGTGTAATTGAGGGTCTGAACTACCTTTCATTAGATATAACCAAGGACCTGTTCTCGTAATAGATCATTAAGAAGAGCTAGAACAAGGAAGTCAGTAGGTTATACAAACCTATGACAAAAATATTGAATGTATTTGTGATAACGCAGCGCAAAATACGGTTTCTGCGTTACCTGTGGAAGAATATACGTAGGCCATTGCCAGACAGCTGGTCGCCCATTGGAAAACGGCTAGTTCTTCTACGTTCAGAGTTCACAGAGATTTACGAATCGAATTTACGTCCACGGAATTAGAGGTTTCATTTTCACTAGTTGTTGTGGGACATAAATTTCGCCTAACTTTTAGGAATCGCAGAAACAACAGGTAGTCTTATCTTAAATGAGCTTTTGGGTAATGAGATATAATAATTCTTAAATACGTTACTTAAATGATTAGTTTTAGGCTCGTCCTGTAGGATCCTTCGTAACTGTATCGCATAAATCAGCGTTTATCGATATGCAAATTACACAATACCACTCCTTATCTTTTCTCTGTAGTCGTCGAATACTCACTGTTCTTACTGCATTTTCTCACGTTTTATCAAATTCACAACGAACGAGTTCAGCTTGTCACAGTATCTCTTATTTACGAAGCTTAGTTGTCGCCTGTATGGTTCTTATTGTAGCGTATAAACGAGTGTACAACTGCCTTAGTTTTCTTTAAGGAAAAACTAAACGAATACGTCAAATCCATCTCGGTCACTTTATGTCCAAACATTTGCAATCTTCATGTTAGCATTAGTGCAGCTGCCTTTTGTTCCTCACCGTTACTTCTAGTATATCCGGACCAGAGTCAGTCAGCTACAACGTAGGACCAGGCACATATGTGCATCGGTCCAGGTTGCCATACCGCATCAGCACAACAAGATGAACACCGGATTCATAGCAGTGGTTAGGTCAAAGGTGGTAATATATAAGAGAAAGATTGCATATAGAGATATAATACAAGAAGAAAGAATTGGTTCGTAGAAAGAAAGATATGAAGCGATTTTAATCTCTTAGTTTAAGGGAAGACAGGGAGTGTATACACCGACGCCATTGTGATCGATTCTGAGCCATGTCACCAAGAGTCTCCAACCATTGGTTACGATAGTCACGCGGACCCCAACCAAGTAGTCTGCATCTACCAACATGGCTCAGACTAGAAGTTAGTGACTTCAAGCACTGATGCCACGTTTTGGTTTGGCCGCCCCTAACTTTCTTCCAACCATCTCCAATACCGGATAGCATTGCACGTCGTGGTAATCGGTGTTCAGGCATACGTAATACGTGGCCCAACCATCTCAGTCGATGAAGATTCATAACCTCATCAACTGATTTACCATCATTCCCTAATACCCTGCGTCTAACCTCACTATTACTTACCCGGTGATCCCAGCAGACGCCAGCAATATTTCTAAGGCATCTGTGGTCAAATACTAGTAGCTTACGAGTGTCTTCTACTCTTAATGGCCATGTTTCGCTGCCGTAAATTAAAACAGAACGGACTGCCGCGCAGTATACTCGTCCTTTTATTGATAGACGGATATCTCGCCTTCGCCAAAGGTGACGTAAGTTGGCAAAAGCCAAACGAGCTTTTCGAATCCGTGCTGAGATTTCGTCAGACACCAACCCATTAGGGCTGATCAGACTTCCAAGATAAGTGAAGTTGTCAACGCGTTCGACTACTTCACTCCCTATCCTTAGTTCAGGTGTTGACGCAGACCAGTCCTGAAGCAACAACTTGCATTTAGAGGGAGAGAAGCGCATTCCAAACATTCTGGCATTGTTGCTTAGTGCTACCAGAAGACTCTGCATTTTGTCAGCGTCTTCACCAAACAGGACTATGTCATCTGCGTATTCTAAGTCGATAAGTGGACCTCCTGGAAGGAGATCAATACCCGAGAATTCAGTCGACGAGAAGTTATTTCCATCAATAGGTCTATGATGAAGTTAAACAAAAATGGAGAAAGTGGACAGCCTTGACGGACACCACTTGAGGTTGCAAAAGTAGATGACAGTTCGCCATAAGCTCTGACTCGACTAGTAGTGTTCGAGTAAAGAGCCTTCACAAGGTTTATGTACTTCTGAGGTACGCCTTTCAATGACAGACACTGCCACAGAATCTCGCGGTCTACAGAGTCAAATGCTGCTTTTAAGTCAAGAAAGACCACCATCGTCGGACGCCGATAAGTATGCCTGTGTTCTAGAACCTGACGAATGGTGAATATGTGGTCGATGCAGCCACGACCAGGTCTAAAGCCAGCTTGGTTCTCTCGTGTTTGCAGTTCACGAGTCTTAGTTAGGCGTCTGATAATTATCGAGGCTAGTATTTTAGATACTATATTAGTTAAACTAATCCCTCTGTGGTTGTCACAGGATGATTTTGACCCTTTCTTATATATTGGGACGATAAGTGATTGCGACCAGTCAGATGGGATAACGTCTAACTCCCAGATTTTAGCTAAAATATTAGTCAACCTAATCGCTAAAATTGGACCACCATCCTTAAAGACTTCTGGAGCCAGTCCATCTGGACCAGCTGCCCTTCCTCGTTTCAGATTAACTATAGCCTTTTGAACTTCAGCAAGAGTTGGGGGACCTACTTCAATGTTCCATTCACACTGTCTGGGAATGGAGGGTAGTTGTAGAGTAGCTGAAGGCCAGCTGAACTGTTCTCTGAAATGTTCCGCCCATCGTTCTAAACGTCTGGACTGGGAGCAGATGAGAGTATCGCTTTTTCCGAAATAATCTCACTTACACTTGACTTATTAATTCCAGTTTCTTTTATTAGTCTGTAAAGCTGTCTTGTGTTCCCTATAGTCGCCGCCTTTTCCATCTCTTTTGCTTTCGTTGCCCACCACTGCTCACGGTCGTTCCTTAGACTTTTTCTTAACCTAGATCTGATTTGTTGTCGCTCTTCATCATGTTCGGAACCTGATGGGACGAGTTTGCGAGAATCCATCAGTGTGATAGACTTTGAAGAAATCCACTGGTTCTTTGTAACTCTGTGGTTTAAGTCACTAATAGATGTCACTGCTGTTTCCACAGCTGCTTGTATGTCTTTCCAAGCAACATCTGGGTCAGCCTCGTCTTCAGAACTACCTAAGTGTGACCTCAGTTGTTCCTGGAACCTACTTTTGGTTTTCTCGTTACTCAACTCAGTTCTAATGGGTCTTTTTAATGTGGCTTTTTTGCGTCCAGTGAGGCGCAAGCAGATGCGTGCCCGTATTAGGGCATGGTCGGAGTCCAAGCAGGTACTCCAGAATGAGCGACAATCTTCTACCGACCCTCTCCAACGATGACTGATGGCAATATGGTCTATTTGAGTCCATCGTTGGTTTGGTGTAGGGGGTCGCCATGTTAGACGATGTCTCTCCTTATGCTTAAAATTTGTGTTTGCTAAAAATAAACGATTGTCTGAGCACAGTTGCAGCAGACGGTCACCATTATCTGTTCGCTGTGCCGGAATGCTAAAATATCCACCTAAATGCCTTTCTGTTTGGTTTAAACTACCTATCTGAGCATTAAAGTCACCCCTACGAGTACTATGTCTGAGCGTTTAGCTTTCTGAAGAAGTTCGGACAGCTTTCTGTAAAATTCATCTTTCACTTCATCTGAGCTGCAGTCAGTGGGAGCGTAGGCAGAAACGACGAAAAGGCAACGACGTGTGTCCCTATCCTTCCGAGTTCTTACGGAGCCGTTTAGCCGAACAGCACATAGACGACTGTTGACGGGGATCCACTCTAGCAGTGCTTGTTCCGCCCTCATGCTTAGTGCTATGCCTACACCTGCCAGTCCACGAGAACTGGCCATCGGGTCACCAGATACACGGAGGGTGTATCTCGTTGGCTCTCCTTTTGCCGAGGTGAGGTCAAGTGAATGACCACACCGGGATCCTGTATGCGTGTTTCAGAGTCACAGCATAAATCAATGGTACGAGATTCTAGGGTTCTAGCCAAGGAAGCCTGCTAACCCACTTGACATAAGGTGCGTACGTTGAAGGCTCCAATGTGTCACACCTCTGTACAGTCAGCAGTACGACTTCGCCTTCGGACCTTGGGTTTGTTGCTTTTAGTCTTACCGCTCTTCAACCGACCTGTCTGACATGGTAGGACCTTGAGGAACGGTTGTTCCAGCCAGTATAGCTCGGTTGCTTCATCACGATAGGCAAGCCCGACCACCACGTCAAGGTAGCAACAACGGTCGGGATCCGGACCAGAATGTTTTTTACAATAAACAATGTAAAATATTCGTTTGCAACCTTTAAAAAAAACGACGGCCTAAGTATAAAAATGCTTGTTCGAGCCGACTGCAACAAAAAATAGTTCATTAACTCAATGAAAGTTTGTGTGTTCGAACAACTTTTGACAAGTGTATGATTCCTCGCTCTCAGGGTTTCCGGTTTGTCATTTATGATGACTAAATTTTTCAAAACCGGCCGTTTATATAAATTTCCATTGTAAATACTAGTCTATAAGTACATGAAAGTCTTGGAATTTATTAAACTCGCCTTTTGAAAACAACACTTTCAAAGATTTGATACAATATTTTATAAATCTTTATGCTGAATCCTTTCCCAGTGTAGACATGAGTGTTCAATCTTTTCAATTATCTGAACTAGAGGAAAAAGCTCGTGCAAGTGCACTCAAAAGAGTTTCTGATCATTTTCAAGTTAGTTTGTATACATCTGATTAATTAATCGCTTTTCAGAAACCAGAACAACTGGATAAGATAGATATTATTAAATCTAGATTTCTAAATCAAAAGGTTAGTCCTACTGTTCCTAATACATTCAAATATTCATTCTGTACAGACTGCCACCGAAGCTCAGTTAAAAATGGCTCTATATAGCCAGTTAGACGGCAGTAAAGTCGGTTTGGAAAAACTGGATACTGCCCTCGCTGAATCACAAACATGTAGGAACAGGTAGATTTTACTTTTCTTATTATGATCTAGACTCATCCAACTGGGATCTTCATTGTCTGGTTTGTCCGGCTTGTCGCAGCAGTTGCATGAGTTAAAAAATCTCTCAACTAAATACAGTCAAGTGAGTGTTCTTTTGCTACTACCAAAAAATGATGTAGCTTGGTGCTGCTATGGAAAATATGAGTTATCTTGTGAAGGCCCCTGAAACATTTGAACAGGCTCGAACTTATCTGGAGTCAGAAAATCTCTTAGAAGGTCATAAACTGTGAGTCTCTTCCCTCCTAATTCTTTTCCATTCAGAATGCAGGATTTGGAAGGAATTCGAGATGAACTGATGTTTGAAGTGTATCGACAAAAGTCTATGGAAGATTTAGATGTATGTGCCCCACTTTTCAATTACCTTAACTCTCCTTTCTTTATCCATTCTGTAGACATTGCGTGCCTTCTTCCGTGAGCTTGAAAATTTAAATGACACGTTTAGACATAAAATAATTGTCCTTGGATCACGTTTAACTAGTGCGGTAATTACTCACAATCGCTTTGTTGTTAATTGTGTACGTGTTATTGACCGTGAAGAAAGGTAATTTTTCGCGTTTGTCTTGGTTCCCTAATAGTATGTTTAATTTTACTTTGACCGCCAGTATTTCTTGGTATATGGTCATATCGTATAAAGCGACGTGATCTTTGAAAATCCAGTTTGCTAATTAAATCAGTTGCAAATCCATATTCATACTGACATGAGGAAAAAGCGAATAGTTTGACGTGACCCTTTTATCGCATACACACGGACAAATACAGATGAAGACAACTAGTGTAGCAGCAGTCTCTGCATCAGTGGGCCTCAACATACACAAATGAAAGAGCAAGATCCTCAAATACAACACGGAGAACACAAACCCAATCACATTTGTTGAAGACGCTCTGGAAGATTTGGAATCTTTCACGTACCTGGGAAGCATCATTGCTGAGCAAGGAGTATCGGATGCAGACGTAAAGGCGAGGATTGGTCAATCAAGGGCCACATTCCTACAATTGAAGAACATATGGAAATCGAAACACCTGTCAGTCAAAATTAAATTGAGAATCTTCTTTACGAACGTCCAGACAGTCATACTGTACGGATCTGAAACGTCGTGAACTACAACAACCATCATCAAGAAGGTACAAGTATTTATAGACAGTTGTCTACGTAAGATACTCAATATCCGTTGGCCGGATACCATCAGCAACAGCCTACCGTGGGAGAAGATAAACCAGCTTTCAGCTGAGGTGGAAGTCAGGAAAAGACGTTGGAAGTGAATAGAACATACATTACGGAAATCATCGAACTGCATCACGAGGCAAGTCCTAACTTGGAATCCTGAAGGAAAACGGAAAAGTGGAAGGCCGAGGAATACACTGCTTCTGGAATTGGAAATAGACATGAGAAGGACGAATAGCAGCTGGAAAGAACTGGAGAGGATTGCCCAGGACAGGGTTAGATGGAGAATGCTGTTGGGTGGCCTATGCTCCTCGACGAGAGGTAACAGGCGTAAGTAAGTAAGCAAATATTTTAGTCGAGGTTGAACTTTTGCCCACGTTTGTAACTGTTTAAATACAGGCTCAATACGACGCAAATCTACTTAATTCAAATGTATATACTCATCTTTGAGTCGTATAATCTGTACGCTGACAATACTATCTGGGGTCCAAACTAAAGTAAGCGGAGTGCTTCGTGCTTCTAATAAATATCGCATATATTAAGTTGATCTTGACCGTTTCGTAAATATATGTCGTCTTTTTTAAATCTAATGTAATAGATCTGGTGTTGCATACGTCTTTTCGATCTATAAGTTTGAACAGCGATCCTAGCTCACCAAAGTATCCAACTGTATCTAGCAGTTAACACGTATTTATTAAAGCACATACACTGGAAGAACGGAAAGGAGGTTTAGTGTTGACATCTTTGATACGTTCCAAAAAAGCTGAGAGACTAAAACAAAAACATATTATCAGCAGTGCAATTCCTCATTATTCGCCTGACAGCAAATATGTTGTTGACGTTTCAAAACAATCAATAAACAAATGATTCAAAATTTATTACGCTTTACTGATGTGTTGCTAAGAAAAACAAATTTACATATTCAAAGAGATATTTCACTCTTGCTTTGCCTTGGTAACCATAGTATCTAGAGTTTTCTACATATCACTTTTCCCACAACCTTAATCATAATTCCTTTCGTTTTTACTTTCTACCTGAGCGTTGCCGAGCTAGTTATTTTTATTCTTATGTACTACATAAACTATGACGTAATCTTCAATTTCTGAAAATTCTGTTTTCATGCTCGATAGTGTTCTCTCCTAGAATATTCATATATTTAAAGTATACATGAATAACCCCTTAAACAGTTTATTTTTAATTCTTTCCCAATTTTTGTGTTTAATTATAACTTACATCTACACATTTTACTCAACTTTCATCAAAACTTTTTCGATATAAAGTATTGATGTTCATCTTCGTGTACACAATTAGAACTGATGCTAATTGGCGGAAACGATCAGAGAAACATGGTTTTATGCCAGATGGACGACCGAAACAATGGAAAAAGCTGTTATTTGACAGTATATTTAATACTATAAAAAATAAGTGAGTTAAATTAATTCCATGGGGTTTCGATAAACTCATCAATTTTCGCTACTATCAGTTTGAATGACTCAATCGATCAATCTGTTGGAATATAGACCACTTTAATAATTACTCCCGTATTGCACCCGGCGTGTTCACCGATTGATTTGTATTATGAATAGTTGCTAACATTTAAATCCAAAATGGACATTTCGTCTTGTTAGAAAGCACCTGAATCTTGACGTTTTTACACAAACCATCAAACCCAGTACCAATTCACCTTAAATACTCAAATGTTTTGTATCAAGGTATTGAGTTATAATAGCCTGTATTACATATTTGACAGTTATTACTTATTTCTTTAAAATTATATACTTATCTGTTATTGTGGGGTTTTGAGCTGAATTTTACAAACCTCTATCGTTATATGGCCTCATTGCTTAGATTCACATTTTGGTGATAACTTGCACACTCTGATCCAGGTGCATCAGGCTAAGATCTCAAAAAATACAAAGTGAATGTTCTGGATCCCTCCGCTAGCCACAACCCAAAGTTGCTAAAACTTGTGGCTAAATGGCAATGTCGAGATAATTTACTGAAGATACACAACAATTAAAGTTGATTAACCATGGTCATAAATATCAACAATGGGAAAATTCAAATGTCGTTCAGCCCCTAACCACTGGTTACGATAACTACACGGACTCCAACCGCGTGGTTCACATATCTTAACATGGATTGACTCAATTGTCATTGAATTAATGGGACAGTCACATGCTTTGGTTTAGTCACCCCTAGCTCTCTTCGAGCCTATTGCTGCATCAGATATCTTCCGTCGAAATAGGAGGTGGTTGTGGATGACGTTACACATGTCCCAACCACCTCAGTTGATGGGAATTTAATACCTCACCATCTTTACCTTGTACCCTGTCCCCAACTGGTTACCCGGTCACACTCGTGATTAAGGACTTATGGAACGATCAGTCGGCCATGTTATTTTCGAATAAGTCAACTATTTATGATTGTCAATACTATTTTCTGCCAGTTTTTCGTCATTTTTCAGCAGAATACCTTGAAGATTTTTTAAATCTATTTTAACATAAATAGGGTGTTTGGAAGCGCGCTAGACAATGAAAATGATAAAAATAAATTAGTTCGACACAATGAAGCCATTAGACAGCATACGCTAGCAGATTTGAAAATAGCAAAAGTGAGTAAATGAATTTTTGTTGTATCATACAATGGATTATTTTCTGGAATTACAAAATAGTTTGTCATGTTCTGTACAAAATTCGATAATTTGTGATTGCTTTTTACAGAAAATGAGTATGAACTTAACACAACAATATTTTCAACAAAGTTTAGTAAAGCAATTATAGTAAAGTTAGCTAGGGTCTGGGACAAACGTATCGTTTCAAGTTGCCAATATTGCATGAGGCAAAATTAATACATTATAAAGCAAAATACAGAAAATAATACTAAACTGCAATAGAAGTCTGAACAATCCAAAATAACTAATAAAATTAAAGAATATAAAGTTTGAATTGATGTCTGACTTGAAATTTATAAGAAATTAGATAATAATTCCAGCTACACTAATGTGACTAATCTCTCATCGTTTCATCTGTCATTGCATTCAATGTTGCATTTATAGTGGCAATCGGGAGATAGCCCCTCTGGACCTAGGTTCCTTATTGGTTCAAATTAGTCAGAAAAGGTATCTTCAATCTGCCCCCAAATGCCCTGGTACGGCCGAGAGTGGGGAGAGTCCGCTCTCCCTCTCGAAATGCTCTCACGTGGCCACGCGTATATAGCCTCTGCCAGGGAAGTCCTACTCACTGCCTTCTCGTGGCAGGGGTGTTGTTTACGAAAATGAGAGGACGAAAAGCGAATGTCCGGCGCTTTAACCGGGTTCCAAACCAATGGTCCATATGGGCTCCAGTATCCTGCGGGAACAAATGGCGTATGAACCAATCATTGATCACCGGCTTCCATGGTACTGCATCTCCTTACGATACTCCACTGCCTTGTGGATCAGACCTTCAGGTCGAAGGCTCGGGGAATGGCCCCCCTAAGAAAACCACCTGCTTCGGTTTGGGTACCCGGCCAGTGTCACAGCCCTCACACATATCGAATGAGATTTGTGTGACGCATATGTATTTGGTGCCTCCTTGTACCAATATCTATGTGTTAAAATAAATAAATAAATAATCTTCAATCTCATGGAAGCTGATACACTCTGTGAGATTTTGGTAGGGCTAACAGATTTACATAGGTTCGTCACCGAGTATTTACTGATATCATGTTACTTAGTCTTTAGTACTGGTTGAATCCTACCAATCAAGTCCCGATGCTGCCAGTTTTCGAAGCGATATTATTCTCGCATCGAACCTCGTGTTTTTCTGATTCAATGTTTACTATTTACTGATTTCCGTGGTATTACTCCATAAAGTCATGATCTGTTAGACTGAGTGGTTTTGGGTAGGTGAGAACTACTTGTTTGGGTCCTCTCGGTAACTGCGATAAGTGGTTGGAGGTGTTGGGGTGATATGACTCAGAGTCGATTAAAATGTTTCAGATTCATCCAGTCTTTATCTTCCTTTAGACTTCGTTGTTAAACCATACTGTCCATGTTTTATGTTTTCTATTACTTTTGATACTATTTCTACTACTACTGCTCTATCATTTGTCTTGATAATCTCATCTCACGGCGCCAATGTTGTATTATAGCAACTTGATTCGGTGCCAGTATGTGTCAGACTTTATGTTACTTATAGCTGCCTGACTCAATTACTTACTTACTTACGCCTGTTACTCCTAACGGAGCATAGGCCGCCGACCAGCATTCTCAAACCCTGACTCAATTACTATCGCTAAAATAAGTATATATATAGTACTTAACATTAAAATATATCACCAAATGTAAATCTCATCTGATCTATGTAATTATTGTTATGATAAATTATGGTAAAATAGATATTGATTGCATAGCACATTCACTAAAAATATTCCCAGATAAATCTTAACTCTGATTTATGTTGTAAAATTAAACACGTATGACCATATTTTGATTATAAATGTGAAAAAGGAACATATCAAGGCCAATTCCATTCTGAAAAGACGTAAGAATGACTAACACAAGAACACATCTATTTCATCTGTCAATTCTGTAATGTTTCTTTTCTCTGTATAATCTGAAATCAGAAAATTAATGACCTTGGCTACAGAATGAGTTTGATTTTTTAGTCTTGTATACTTTGTTTTACGTCAATATCATTCAACTATACTTTCTAATCGGTTCCATAAATTATGACCGTTGAATAAATTGTACATGAATTAACTGTAAATGCCTATTGAAGAATTCGTTTCAGTGAGTATAAAGATGCTAATCGTTGTTGCAAACATTCCATTTAAAATACTTTAGGTTATTTATTATTTAAAGGACAGGAATAAGCATCGTTATCATATACGAAATCAATCTTATAAATACATAAACTACAGTCAACACACTGACTAAGGTGTATCAATCTCATTCCCCCCAAAATGCCTCCCATCCGATTTGCTACAATGCACTGATCCTATCTGTGTTTCAACTGTCTATAACATCGAATTAGAGTCCAGGCTTTTAATTTTCCTTGTAATTTCGCATGTTATCATCGAAACACCTTTTTAGTACCGTCTCCTCATGACTAGTTTACTTTTAGAAAACAAAGCGGAACCACAGAGAGTTACGTTTGATGATTAGTTAAGGTAAAACTAGCTAGAAACACCCAAGCAGTCACTCCTGAACATCCAAGCCAATAAATAAATAAGTATATTTGTAATATCCCAATGAGTAGAAAAATTAGATTTTCTGACGTTTCGTGACTTAGTGCAAGCCACTTCAGAGAATAAATAACCAAATTTGGACTAGTATGCGTTCCAGATTGAACCTGTTTGGGGTGCCATTAAAAAGCAAGAGCACTGGACAACTGTTTGGTTCTTTAATAGAACTCCTTAGCTTTACGCACTCTTGAAGTCTCCAGAGGTCGAACCAAGTAAATTTAGATCTCTCAGTGAACTTCCAAACTAAAAGCCACTGTGATATTCAATTCCGACTACAATTAATCCGCGGTATAACCCGACGATCATCTATTTTGTTTGGTGTCGACGACTTTAAATGTTATCCGGATTAAGATCAATTTTTAACGAATAATACCGAATAATTTAGGGAACTTTCACAATTCACTTCAAATAAACTGTGTATATATTGATTTAAATGTTTACAGATATTTTTTCTAAAAAGTCATTGTAACAAAAAAATATCTTATTAATATTTATTCCGTAAATGTTCATTTATTTACATGTTTTCCAGAATATATGTCCAACATATTTTCCAGCAGATTATGCTATATTTGATCGATTTGTTGAAATGTATCATGAAGCCATCGGAATGCATGTAAGTTTAAACAATAATAATATACATTATGTTTTAATCTATACACACAGGTTGAAAGTTTAGTACTTGAGGGTCTATCGGATACAGAGATTGTACAACTACTAGGTTGGATAAATTCTTATCAGTAAGTTGCTTTGATCTTTACCATCGTTACAAAATTTATTTTTAGTACTGAAGAATTCATGAAAAATCCTTTCATGAATATTGACTTTAATCGATTGAATTTAAGACATCCAATTAATTTGTTACCTGATGAAAAATTAAATTCACTTCGAAAGCAGTAAGTTTTTAATATGATTATAAACTAGATGATCTATAACTTCATTAATAATTTTGTCCCCTTTATTGAGAACACGAACCGATTTTACTTAAAGAACCACTGAAAACTTGGAAGCTCTTGACATCTGTTTCATCCTAATATCGGACTCGTCAGTAGTGCACATCCACAACCGTTTCCACATGGATCGAACCAGCATCATCGGTCTCCCACGCGAACATTCAACCACTAAACTAACTGAGCCTCAATTCATCGGGGTATAAGTTTAACTTCAGTCAATTCATGAGATTACGTGACCATCTTCCATTGTCTCTTCCGTGCCATATGTGAGGGATGCGTTCTACATTCCAGTGACAACCTTTATCTAACCTTCATATAAATCTGTTCAGGTAGTTTGTCTTTCAGTACTTAAAACTCGATTTATAGACGGTATGACTTCATTTTTTGCGTTAAGTACAACCATTGTATTGGTACTAATTCAATAAAACAAGATTTACATTTGTCAAGAAGTTCGTATAAGATTCTTCCGTTATGTGCTACATGCACCAATTATGCGATAATCACATATTCCGCTACTACTAATTCTGTCTTGGAATTTTGTGGGAAAAATTATTTATTCAATGTCCTTGTTGAATGAATAATATCTGCCACTGAAATCAATGATACACATTTTGTCTCCTCTAAGACTCGTCAATTGCATTTACATATGTAGATATGTTTCACATTAGAAGAGAAAGTACCGGATCGGGATCAAGGAGTGAGCGTTAACATTAGGATTCAGGTACATCGAGCTAACGAGTTTCAAATAGAACAAAACACATGTCTTGATTTCCACTGTGAGCTGCGATCCATCTATCCTATAAGAGCTTGTTGATAACGTTGTTATATCAAGCCAGTACACTCTGGATACCCACATTTTAACTAATCGAAATTCAGTCCAACTTTATAATAACCGGATACTTCAAATCTTTCCCAATGACAATGTAATCCTTGTCGAATTTTGTTTTCCTTCTCACTTTTTCAATAGATATGTTTCAAAGACGATTGAACGACTTAAATCATGGTTAGCAAATTCACTCTTAAAGGATACTTCTGTAAGTTTTTCATTGCTTATTTGTTTGTATTTTTATTCATAATTGTATGTAATTGTCGGTTGTGAATTTTCATCTTTCTTATTTGTTCTAGTTTCAGAAATTAACTTATTATTTCGGTTTATTTTCTGTATATATTGATGAAGTTTAGTTAACACTGATCACAGTTAATGCTTCTTCTTATGCCATAGAGTTGTGGTGATGTTTAAATACATGAAAATAATGACATCAGTTGTCCAAAAAATATCTCAATTGTGTGTTCTTTAAAACGCCTAAAAATACAAATGATTATTAACGTTTGCTGGGAAATCTTTTGTTTTCCAAGAACTGACTTTAAATCAGCCAGAAAATGGATATTCTTCAATAATCACCATTTTTTTAGTTTTTTAACCTCACAAACACTTGAATCAGACGTCATAAAACTCAGATTCCTAATGACTGGTTTTCAACGACATCACATAAAATGTAGGAATACCTACGTTTTTCCTCATTTTTCATCGTCGGTTGAACTGGGGACTAAACATTTTTCCCTTTTTGTTTTTGCAGTGATTCGATGGCCAGATCAAGCAGTATGTAACACAATACAAATTCTGTTGAAGCGATCTACGTTGTTTTTATTCATTCCATTTACTAGCGCATTATTTATACTTGGATACCTAAAGCTGCGTCATAAGTCTTTGAAATATAAATATTTATATTGTAAATCTTCATCTCTCTGCGTCATTTGTTCGATTTTGTGCAACTTTATCGTTATTTCTGAGAGAGACCTTGGACTTACCAAAAATAGTCTAGTTAAAACTGTGTTGTCTATTTTTCTTAAAAAACTATTCTCTTTGAATTGAATCTAACTTCTAAAGCATCATTGATAAGCTATTCATGTATCATGTTTAATTGATTTAGGATTGGCAACGTTCAACTGGGCCTGAATTAGATGGATCTTCTAATTATTTCACTGATTTGCCTGTATTAGTCATGACACCTATCAATGAAATGGTAAGTTGCTATTATTGTTGCTGTTATTGCTTAACAAGCATTAGGAACTATCAGTAAACGGAATTTTATGTATATCTTCCTAATATGGCTATGACATAGGGTGGATTCGAATGACTTGACTTGACATACATGATATTGGTCACAACTCAGTGACCAGTAAATTGCAAATACATCTCATTCCTGGAGGAGGTCAGTCGTGGCCCGGCTATTTCAGTGGTGACGTCCTTCACCGCGAAGCTGGATAAAAAAACTATCGAATCCGCCAGGGAGCATCATTCCACTCAAGGTCAGAGACATGCCTTGCTGACGAGTGCCAAATAAAACGAAATCTAGATCACGTAGGGTCTCTTGCCAACTACCTCTAACCACTACCTTACAACTTTATCTCTCTTTATATACTGAATCCCAATATTCCTTTACACGTACGTTTACATTCTTTCTTCTCGAGCCATATTCTCAATGTTAAGTCTTTATCATCGTTCCTACTGTAATTATTTCAGCTTCTTTAATATTCATCTCTTTAATTTCGTCTCATTGGATTAATGTGGTTTATGGCAACATTTTGTCAGATTTCACGTATATTGTGATTGACTAACATCTTCGTAAATCTGGTATTGCCGAAATCCTCCTAGACATTAGTTTCCAAGAATCTTCACATGTTTTTTTAAAAGAAAACTATAAACAATCAATGAATTGCTCCCAAAATGTATGATTATACTTTGAAATTAATCGACGGATTTCTCTTCATTGTTCATAATCCATAGCTGTAAAAACTTTAACCGTCTAACTTAAATTCAATGTCTTTTTGTAATGAATACATGTTAAAATACAAGATTTTTTGTTTTATATATGCAAGAACAAAGAGCGTAGCAAAAATATGATGAATTCATTTACTTGGTGTGGTTTTTCTTCAGCGGCTTACAAACTAAAAACAATTATTTACAACTAATATACATACTTTATTTCATATTAAGGATGATCAGTAGAATAATGCCAACAGTTATAGAACGAATACTAAATTGGTAAGGGGGATGAATATTTATATATTACTAACTGAAAATTTTAGAAAAAATTTCAAAACATGCGAAGATACGTTTTTAAAGAATGAAAGTTGATGTCAATGATCGGCGTCCTCATTTTATTACTTGTGAATATTTCACATTTAGTTGAGGTCAGTGGAAAGATTTGAGGCCATCGACTGCTGTACAGTTACAGTAACACAGAGCACTAAATAATATTCCATTTATAGTTCAAAACAAAAGATATTGATCACTACAATATCAACCAATTGAGAACACCGAGTATTCCTAAGCAAAGTGTACATTATGTAGTATTATGATAAATGTAAGAGCCATGGAAAGTTTCTATTACAAGTCACATGTTTCTGACTATCCACCCATCTGTTTAGAACATCAACTAATCACCTTTGAGTTTCACCCACACAACAGCCGCCTAATGTCTTTCACTAAAATTGTGGATAATCTTTCAGATGCCTCAGAAGCTTGAACTACAGAATAAACTATATTTTAATCCACTACATTGATCAGTAATTTTCTTCGACAAAGTTGGATTCGTTTACAATATCAGTTGGTGGCTAACGATTTTATACTCTAAAGCAATATTTATTGATATTTTTATGTCGTGCTGCATTGACGATCTTATTGAGAAGAAAAATTTCTCCACTCAATTAGCATGTTGTTTTTCTTAAACCTATTTTTGCACAGATTGGTAAAGGTAATTTATTACATTATCTGGGCAATGCTGTAAGAGAACAATTTTTTACTCAATGTGTTGAAGAGATGGCGCTTTTCGTGAAAGATTACGATGGTAAGAATTCTGTTTCTTTGCTTAGTTACCTTATTTACTGTTGGTTGTTCGATAGCGATCTGTAGTAAATTCTTGCTTTATCAGTATAGGGTTGTGGAGATTGTTGAGTTTAAATTGATATCATGAATGGATCAATTCTAGACTACCATTGAAAACCTGGAAGCATTAGACGGCCGTTTCGTCTTAGTATGGGGCTCCTCAGTAGTGTGCATCCGCGATCCCACCTGCGGGACTCGAACCCAAGACCTTCGATCTCGCGCGTGAGTGTCTAATCTCTAGACCACCGAACCGCCATCCAACGGTGTCAGTGTATAACTTCAACTAATCCACGATATTGCGCAACCATACATTGGTAGATTTTTCTTAAGCTTTAACCAGATACAATCTATCCATGACTGCGTTCTGAATTTCGCTCAAAGATCCAACTGCCTCTGTCTTAAATCTGATTGGTCCGTCAGCTAAGTATATTTTTATTGTACAATGAAATAAATGATATTTATTTTGTTTTAGTGCCTGTGATATTACAATGATAACTTTCATGATGAAATCACTATAACCCAGCTCATACATGTTCATGTCATTAGTTTTGTCGCACATGCACACACTTGAGTGTATAAATGATACATTATTCAGTTTCCTGAATGCTATTAAGTAACTTGACATGTTTTAATGTACAATCTTATTATTGTTAATAGTCACTAAACTACCACTTTGACGTTAGTACTTAATAATGCACCATAGCTTTCGTTTGTATCCTATATTGTAGCTCCACAAACTATACTACCATCGACTGGATAATGTTTGCATAGTTTAATACTGCAGTGTACATAATTTCATTTTAAATAAAAATAATATATTTGTAATATCCCAATGAGCAGAAAATTAGATTTTCTGACGTTTCGTGATCTACTATAAGTCACTTCTTCAGGGCATAGATAACCAAATTAAAATTAATCCAAGTTTAAATAGTACAACGGAACAATGCAAGAATAATATTTGATCAATCAAAAACAGGTCTGAACAAGTTGATGTCTTGTCATTTCTGTCAAGGTGATTCATAAGTGATATGTATGTAAATTTGTGTGCGTATGTATGTGTGCATTGTTTAAGAATGTTATATATATAAGAATATTATTCTTGCATTGTTCCGTTGTACTATTTAAAATTGGTTTAATTTTAATTTGGTTATTTATTCTCTGAAGAAGTGACTTACACTAAGTCACGAAACGTCAGAAAATCTAATTTTCTACTCATTGGGATATTAGAAATATATTATTTTTATTTATAACAATCAACCCAATGCTCAATTTATTCGAAATTATCAAAACAAACCTTGGTAATGATACCTATAATTTCATTCTGTCTTATATAATTTTTTTGTACCTTACATGCCCATTGGTTATTAGATGATATTAAAAAGTACCGAGCAGCCTACATACAAGACAGATCGAAATTTCCATGCTATATAGAATACATTGTAAGTATTTCTTGATAATTCCAATCTTTGTGTATTATTATTACTATTATTATTATTATTATTATTATTATTATTATTATTATTATTTAATTCGTTATGCTTAATTTTGTGATATGCATGGTAATGACGTTGATATTGGTCGCACATGTATGCATTAAGCTATATGTAACATTTATCTGTCTGTTTCTGTTTATCTCACTGAGCCACAAACATAAGTAACATATGTGTAGATTTGAAGAAAAAAATAGGTATGTAATTTTCACCTAAATGTCAAGTATTCTAAAAAAAACCTCCAGGACCTCTATACCTTTATTCACTTTTTGAGGTGATGACCCGTTAGGAATATTATTGGAAAATTCTTATATCTAACTAGTGTGAGTACTGGTGGCAGTGTACCAATTTTTAAATAATGAATGCTAAAATGACTTATGTCAATCCGGGTCATATTTAACCTCCTGATGTATTAAATGATTCGAATTAGATGGAATTAGTTTCAAACTCACAACACCGTGGTTAGTAATGATAATAATAATAATAATAATAATAATAATAATAGACTGACCCACTGCAGTCATCGGGAAAGTTCAAATAATCAATGCATATCAGTTAAACCTTACTCTGTTGCACAAGCCAGTAGTTATCTAGATTCAGTAGTTAAGTGAATAATGCGATGGCATTTGAAGCGAATAGAGCTGAGTTTGACTCCTGGAATGCACATGAACTCTGGGATGCAGGTACATCCAGTTGACAAGTCCTAAATAGGATGAATTCCGCTTCCTAAATTTCAATGCTAGCCATCATCCATTCCTGTTTTTAAGGTAAGTAGCTTAGTAGCAATGTCGAAACAATCCACACAGGATGCACATATTCGAAAGCCACTCAGAAATTGCAGTTCTGAACATCAATGGTAAGATTCAAACAACCATTACAAATGTATTTATTTATTTATTTGAATACATAAATATCGGTACAAGGGGCATCGAATGTATATGCGCCACACAAGTCACTTGATTTGTGTGTAGGCTGTGTTACTACCCGGTGCCCAGACCGAGGCACAGTCAATACAAATGAATAATCATAGTAATTGCTTTAGGTAGTATTACATATTGAGTACAGTATGATATTCTCAGTATACTTCAAACACTTTGGTCTTTTATTAGTTGTAAGTAAGTGACTATCATTTCTCGAATTAGTAGAATTCATTGCAAATAAAAACATTTCGATAACAATATAATAAGTTAGGACAAGTCCTAACATTTTGATGAAATACTTATTAATAATTATTTAAAAGCAATGCTGATTGCTAGAGAAAAAATCTCATTCCGTCCAAATGTACACCAAAGAACAGCTATTTTCTACCCGAGCTTCACGGTTCAATAGGCTAACCTTCACTGTCATTATAACAGTTACTTCCTTTTAATCATCTAACTTCTTTTTTCAATATTTGTTCCAGTTAGCCAATGCAAATGGTGCATGTATGATTGCGCATAGTTTTGTCACAGTAATTATGGATGAATTGACTGAAGATTCACATCTTAAAGGGAATCTTACAGCTAGGATTAGTCATTTGAAATCAGAATATGAAAAAGTAGCTGAACAATGGTGAGTGTTTGTTGTTTCATCTTTTGGCTGAATTTTGTTATGAGTTCTACGTGGGACTCATGCTAAATATCATGTAAGGTATCCGTGAACTAATCCCTTACAAGTCACTTATCATTACTATTTGCGTGAATTTTAAAATCTGGTATCCTATGAAATATTTGAAAGGTATCAGTCAGTATTTGGTCATTGAATTTCATATTTAGTTAATTTAAAACTTTTTGTCGGGACTAAAACTGTTATGATCCCGTTAACATTGGGTGGATATCGCACATTGTATTATGAGTTAACTGAAGCTAGAAATATAGATCATTTGATTCTAACTCAGCTGTTCTAGAGCGTCGTGTTATATGAGGCTTGCATCGTAACAGGTAATTTGGATGCCAAACTAGGTAGGCTAAATTAAATTGAGAGACAATTGAGTGAACCTTTTGATTTCTCAATTCAGTGAACAGGAAACGAAGACTGTCTGTTGCTCAGATGATCCTTTATTTCTACCAACCACCTTTTTTAAAAACTCGAAAAGTTCTCGTCTGACACTGATTTCAAGAATTAACTGGACGATGAACGAAAATGCACAATATTACCACTGGCCATCTCTAGGATACCTCGATTAAAACATTTGCTCTGTCCGAAACACATATTGGACTCTGACCACTCTCTGGTGCAAGTGCGCGTCCCCTCTGAGCCTTACTGAACGCAGAAAAGTCAAAACGGGGAAAGCTTTAGGAGTTTAGCTCAACAATAAGCATATTTCAGGAACAACTAAAGAGGAACAATTACGAAATTAATGCTCACGCCGATGTAGTTTAATTCACAACTAACAGTGTTAGACTTGAAAGTTCTAGGTTGTATTCGACGTACGGAGAGAGTCATGAGTAGGCACTGATCTGAACCTTTAAAACTAGCACAAGACAAGTTAAAGGTATGCTCCCTAATTTTCCAGCTAATTTCTGTCTTTAATGAGAAGCTTCTGCAATTTTTAACTATCAATTCAGTATCTGTGAAATTTCACCAAAATTGTTTTTATTTCACACAAACTTTGTAAAGATTATATCGTTTTCTCCGATAAATAAACTGGTTGTGGTTTGTTCTTTTCTAAGAGTATTTACTTATCGTACACTTGATCCAATATGTGATGTCAGTTCGTTACGACCTTAATTTATCTGCTCACTAGTCTGTGCTTAGTATTCAGCGAGAAAGAGTTATCTCAATCTAGTTTATGGATTTGATATAATGGGCTACTTAGCAATACCTTAGAACTTGTAACGCGCTAGTTCAATGTGTTTGTGAGCGGCCTTGGAAGTAACAAAAGAAGAAACCATTCTACATTGACTAGTTGGCAAGCAGAGAGAGAAAACGACTTACCTGAAATTGTATATCTGACTTATTGCTGATCCTATCAAGGTACATGAGTAAATATCTGACAAACAGATGTATAGCACAAAAGGAAAGAAAAAAATACAGTTACATCCAAACTATAACATTAAAGTAGACAAAATGAAATCCGAGGATCATGTTTAAATTACAGTGATTTGAGATGGAAGAGAACATGCCAGTTATTTAAACTATAAACAAAAGCTTGTGATTCGTAGATTAAAGTAGGCTCTATACTTAATCTTAGCATTGTACAGAGTTTGGATTAAGTGCGATTAGGTCCCGAGAAATAAATTACGTTAATTATCATTGTTCCGATATTCCTTTTTCACGTCAGATGTTTTCTTATGCTTATTATCTTAATTGTTATGCTATAAAAATTAATTCATATCATTCTGTGTCAATATTCGTTCTTGTTTTACTCAAATTCGTCAAGGAAGCCAGTTGTATGGTAATATTTATAAACACTTCGATTATTTTAATGATTTTAAATCTTCAGTCGACAATTTATCCTTATCTAACGAAATTTTCCTATATAAATATGTAATATTTTATTATAGGATAGCTTATGCTGAAGAAACCGTATTCATGGATTTAAATCGTGTACTAAGCGTGATTATGACATCTCAATGGTGAGTGCATATGTATATATGGAGTTAGCAAAATCGTGTTTCATACCTATTGTAGAAATATCGATGGTTTAACACTGAACACTTTACCCAATACTATTTGCTTCAAGCTCCATCGCGTTATCCATTTAGCTACTGAGTCCTAATAGCTAGGGTTCGAGTCCCGGAGTGAATGTTAACTCTGGATGCATGCACATCCAACTGACGATTCCCAAAATGGGACAGCATGTGCATCGTGGATTCCACTTCTAGCCACTATCATCTCTGCTTATAATGCTTGTGACTTAAAATAACATGGAGGCAATCCGCACAGGATGCACGTATACCAACAAGAGACTGATCATTTGCAGTCCTAAACATCCATAGGAAGATTCAAACAACCAACATGAAAACGAATTATATTGTTTAACATTCAGGTGCACAAACTAAGGCATCATCATGTACCATTATCATTTTACAAAATATGTAACTGGTTATACTTTTTTACATATCAATACCGGGGTGACATTTGTCAAATGAACTAACAGTTTCGATCGATTTATTGTTTGTTCATCGATTACCTACTGGATAAGTATTGGTCTCCGTTGAAATCATATACTGATCGTAACTAAACCACTATTGAAAACCCGGAATCACTGGACGGCCGTTTATTCCTAGGACTCTTAGACAATGCGCATCCACGATCCCTCACGCGAACGCTTAACTTCTAAACAACTGAGCTGCCATCCTACAGTGTTGACGTCTAAATTCAATAAATCCATTTTCTTTCTTAACACTTCATCCATTGCTTGCGGTAGATAACTGTCTTACACACGACGTGGATTAAAATTAATTGGTCACAGCTTCTGACTACAACTCCGGCAGTTACGTCTTGAAGTTAGTCGCTAGTTAGCACGTGGTTTTCTTAGTATGCGGGATTTGTGGAAATTGTAGTTTTTCCAGCGTTGAAATCGCTAACCCATCTTAGCTAGACCGCCATTAGAAACCTAGACGTTAACACCATTAGATGCCGGATCAGTAGTTTAGAGGTTAGTGGTTCGAACACGAGAGGAAAGGTTCTGAGGCTAATCCTTTGTTGCGGAGTCGTGGATGCCTATTGCTAAGGAGCCGCCCTGTGCTTCTAGGATTGCAGTAGTGGTCTAGCTAAGAATGGTTCATGTTTTCAACGGTAAAAATACTACAATCTCCACAAATTCTGTATATTTAATAATAATCTGGCTGTAGAATAATGTCATTCATACTTCTTATGGTTGGAACTCAGTGAATAGTTTAGCTTGTCCTGTTGTCTTGTTGCAGACTTTCGTCCATTCGCCGGATTAGAGGAATAGTAATTTCTTAAAATGTAGCTTTAGTATGTATTGTTATTGTATATTAGAGTAAAGCCTGATGAGAATCTTACTGAAAATAATATTGTTCGCTTATATATGTTGTTCTGATTCACATTATTTAGTGTTAAGGTCTTGTAAACAGCAATTTTTTTCACGCTGTGTTACCCATCCAAATAAATTGTTTAGTATGTTTCTTATTTGGGACATTTTTATTCATTTCTCTTATCGTTCTCTTTGGTCACACCCCTCAACACAATTAATCTGTATGTTTATTATTATTATTATTTTACAAATTATTGAAAACAGGCTACGCCCGGATGATATGACAACACAATATCTGGTTGGTACATTAGCCGATTATGATGAAACATTGAAGCATACGAGACAAAATTTATATGATAAATTAGCTGAAAAATTGGCTGAACGAATGTTAATTGAATACTTGAAAGCATTAATAAGCCGGTATAACAATTATCCATAATCAGTATGATTTGTTATCAATGTTATTTCAATTATAGTTGTTATATTAACAATTTACTGCATATTCTCTTCAATAAGTACACTAATTGATGTCATGCGAACTCTAATATAATTTAGGATAGTATTCTTATCGCCTTACAAAATAATTCTCATTTGTAAAACAATATACTTGTCCTATGTGCTTTCCCGCTGTCCTGAAATTCTCTAAAAACCGTGATAAGTTAAGTTACTCGGCTGCCTCAGTTCGGTGTTTGCTAGAATCATTTAGACAGATAATATTTCCAAATTCAACTCATTAGTAATTATCTGGATAAAGAGTCAGTAATTAGAAAGCATAAGAAACCCTAAAGCGTTCAGTATTTTTTCTTGATATAAATGATCGAGAACTTTCCTAACGTTGTATCGTCCTTGTTATCCTCAAAGGTCTTAACGAAACTCTTGACTTATAATTTTCGATTATTCTGCACTAATACTAATGACATGGGGAAATAGTTTAACAGTAGACTGTCGACAATCCACTGAATTATCGCAAATATAATGAGTTAACAGGTGTGTAAGAATAATCTTAAAATATCTTGCTGTTCACATAATACCTGGATCACTTTAAATTATCTGGTAGTTCAGTATGATTGTTTTTCAAAGAAAATTTATTGACCATTTTATAAAATACTAAATATGTTCTAACAGTGTCATTTATACCAATGTCTATAAAAATTCAAGTAGGATGAGTACAATTTTCATAATAAGTAAACCTCTCTTGAAAATGTTTACCGGTTTAACAGTAAGCATCAACTAAAAAATGGGTTTTGTTACATTAATTTGATAAAGGTAATGGAGGAGGAAATGAAATAACAACTAAGAATTTAATTAGCACATCATAATGTACCGATAATTAATATGACGAATAACTAGCAATATATCAGTCAATTAGCGGAATATAAAATTTAAACAAAGCACAGAATATGTTGAACTTTGAGCATTTCATTTTATTGTCAAACATAAAATGGAAATGAAATTTTCCATTATATATGTTTATTTTGATTTTATTGTGCATAGACGAAGTCCGCTTTCTACAGAAGCTGATAGAAAAAAGGCTGGTGAGAAAATCACACGAGATGGACATGATTTAAAGAATTATTTTGAAGAGAAAATGAAAGTGAAAAGTGAAGTAAGTAGATTTATGTTGATTAATAACTAATTTATCATTCAGGATATGGGGTATATGCTGTATATTTTTTTCAAAACAAAGCAAATATGCCACAATTTAGAGTGTCACATTAAATAAGATAATTTTCGTTGCTTTTTATGTAATCTGACCTTAGCTGCTATCTTAACATGGTGGTTATACTTTATGATGACTGGAACATTTATTCCTTTAGATCTTACTTTCCCAGATATATCTGTTGAGGAACTGTAAAACTAGAAAAAATGTGCTGAAGTCTATGGCTAATTCTTACTACTGGCTGTAGTAGTATGTGTTGGTAGTACGATATTTTCCTTAGACAGCCAGCATCTACAGCGGTGCTGCAGGAGGGAGACAGTTAAAAAGATCGACCGTAATAATAGTATACTTCACCTTAATCTTCGGATAACCATCAATTGTGTTAAGGCTTTAGATGTAACGAGTTAACTCACCTAAAGCTCCTCACATTAAAGCCTTGTGTAGCCGTCCCCAACCCATTGTCTCTTGAACTGTGCTACTGAGGCCACCTCTAACCCAGTATTTTTTCAGGCCCCTCAAGATGAAGTTTCCCTCTACAATGGGACAGTTGGAAAAAGACAGACAACTACATAATATAACCGTTTTGTATGAAATACGAAAATATCGTAAGTATTGTATAATCTTATGGTTTACAGAAACGACTGACTCACTTACTATCAGTAAAATATTCATACTTTTAAACTGCGTGGTAAGGATATCTTGTCAACTTCCTCATAGCGTTTTATTCATCCTCCGAAATTCAGAATAGTCAGATTCCATTACTATTATTTCGTTTCTACAATCAATTTACGACATTTCAACTACGTACATAACATAACATACCAGTCGGTAATTCTTAGTAATACGTTTGACCAGTAAAGTAGACTCCAAAAGTTACTAAAGGAACTGAGTACATTTGTTGTGTGGATAGGATGCAATCTTAGTTCTACGTTTTGTTGTATTTAAGACTCGTCATCTAGGTGTATCTGCTTTCCAACGTTAATTTTCACAGTGAGTCTTGAACTCAGTATACTTCGTTTCAAACTCGTCTCACCGTGAATATCAACACTAAAGAAAGGATATATCCAGCTGACAATTCTCAAATAGAATGAGATTCCACTGCTAGCAAAATACCAAATATACTAAAACACAGAACATCTCTATTTCGAGGCAATCTGCTTATCATTTTCAGTCCTGATTCTCAATAACGGGAAGTTCGGGACCATCCTTACTATAAATATTTTCACAATTAGGTAACTGTAAATCTATGAACTCAGTAAATAGTATTTATTTAGCAAATATTGCAGGACATATATCTCATATATTTCTTATAAACAATTTTAGGTAATTGTGGCATACGACGCTTTAACAACTATCGGTCAGTTGTTCCTTACAACTGATACATCAATGTTACCCTTGGATATTGCTGTAAGTGTTTGTTTGTTTATATGAATGGATCCATTTTGCTTTTCGTTGTAAACCTGCTATTTTAGTCAACATTTCTAAAATGTTAGCCTATTGCAATAACCATGGCTCATTGTTAGACTAATGTTGCACATTAGTTCCACTGCATTTTATACTGCTTACATCTATCGTGTGGTTAATACTTATTTTTGTCAAAATTCAATTATACATTCGCATATGTTATATAAACCAACCACCTTAGGTCGTACGTTGTATAATTTTTATTATACTGAACAAGCTTAATATGTTATTAAAACGGTATTGTAATTGATTAGTGAGTAAAAATCATTTGTCGAAATAACTATTTGTAAAACAATTAGTTTGTAAAAAATAATTTTTCAAATGCACTAAAATACTTGTGTTAAGTACGTGTAAACAAGTCGTAAAGGTAGACCTTTATGAATCATTCTGCGGCGGATAATATATATAAATGATTAGCCACTGACATATGCTTCACTGTTTATTAATTATTTATCTTTCACTCAGTTTTGTGTCACATATAACCGTTGGGTGTCAGGAAGCCACTCATCAAAGACAGTGAAGGGTAGATCGAACTTAGACTTGTACACCATTAGATCCCGGCTCAGTGGTTTAAAATCTATATGTTCGCACTCGATACTGAAGGTCCTGGATCCGATCCCCTATTGCGAGGCCGTGGATGCGCGCTGCTGAGGAGTCCCATAAAGGGATGGAATAGCTGTCCAATGCCTCCAGGTTTTAAACGGTTGTCCAACATTTTCCACAACCTTGTATTGACGTATAGTCCATTTACACACGAATTGTAATTTTTTGTTTGTTCTGCGTCGTGGTCATGTAACTGATCAATTTCATCCTATGAGTTTGATCGTTTGTGTCATTGGCTTAAGCAAGATTCTTTGGTCCGATAGACGTAATGCAAACTTACCGTTAGTGGACTCAATAATTAAGTAGTCGAATCGAGTAGGCGTATGGAGGTTGATGTCATAACTTATACAAAATGTATCCAATGTAGTTGCTTAAGATGAATAATTATAGGATAAGAATCTGTGTAGATCATTCACCAGTAAAGCACATCATACATTTATCCTATTTTATATACATCAGTAGAAAAAAGTTTAAAAGCATAACAAATCTACGATGAATTCTATCATTAATATCTCATGAATTATAGAAAAATCATATCAAAATCATCAAATAAATATTCTTTTAAAGATAGTTAATCATGCTAGTAAGAAAATTGGTCCATTATCCATCAGTAATATTTTAAAAATACATTTTCAGAGACGTCTGATCATTTTAAATACATAAATTTTCTTATCTGTTACTTACGTTCTATAATACTAGGTTATAATTACCGTGTTATGATGCTCATCTCTTTGTGTCAGAAAATAGAGTCCCTAGACTTTAAAGAGTCTACTAATAATGATGAGTTAATTTACGCGTATCAGACCTATATCACAAATCACCTCCGACACATAATGTCATTGAGTCTTTTAGAATTTATTTATTAATATGTGTGTATGTGTATTGCTTCTAGAATTTGAAACGTCAATTTCCTGATGTTCGTTCCGATCAAGTTTATGCCTTGCTTGTTGCTCGTGGAGATGTTACATCTGACAATGCTAAAGGAGTAAGTTTCCAGGAAAAATAAAGAGCTCTTCAATAATTAGAAGTATTCAATTTTTCTTGGGGGTTGTTTTTATTTTAGATTCGATTGTAGTTGGCTGTTTCTCACTGTAGCTAAATGGCATTTTATCGAGGTTGTATGGCGAATAACTGTGGAACCCAATAGATGCGTTTCACCTCATTCGAGATTCATCAGCTGGATGTTCCTGCATCTCTCAGTGTTGATGTTCACATGGAGATTCGAACTCATCACCTCTCAGCTTAAGTACCATCATTTTATCCACTGAGTTGCTGATTCCGATTTCTTACCAGGCCTCTCAAATAGGATAAAACGCACCTCCTGCATCCTATCTTTACCCATTATCCACCCTAATAAAAGCCTGTGACTAAATGGCAGTATTGGGAAAATCCGTTTACGATGCACATATACCAATAAAGACTAAACAGACAATTACTAACATTGATGACGGGAGAAGGAAAACCTGTACAAGTTAGATGATTAGTCAGGCTTACCGACTTATATAGCTCAATCTTCAAAATATCAGGTATTAAGAATCACAGTATGTCCAAAGTCATTTAAGATTGATTTTCAGTTTTATTTTCATTAACCAAAGAATTCTTTTTCTGGGACTTAATATTCTGAGTACAATACGCTATTGAAAATAATATCCTCCTAGAAAAACTCACTAATATTCCGAGAATATTCTTCAAACTGGTAACACAATTTCAAAGCTGTGTGGTAGTTTAAACAGCTTTATTTAGTTTCTCGTTAGATTTTGAATTGTGTTGCCATCGTATCCCAAGTGTCTTGGATAATGGCTTCCATTTCTTGCGTTTCACAAAAGTTCAGCTAATTCTAAGGTTACTCGCTCAACAATCGCAACGGGAACGAGAATAACTCTACCTGGTACTACTCCATTATTCGGAACTTCTAGATACAACTGAAGTGTTCTGCAAAGTTACAATACAGTTGCCAAGTAACCGACAGCTTCTAATCTTTATTAATATAGCGAAAGTTTCCACTGATGCAATACAACTCTCACGAACCAACAAAACGAAACAATGGCTACCCAACATGCGTCTAAACTCTCAAGGTAATCGATGGTGAAACTACGCAACCGAAAACGGAGATTGAGTGCTTTATTCTTAGCCTTGAGGTGCATTGCGAAGAGGGTAGGGTTATAGAAAAGAAACAACAAAATCAGGCAAGCTACAGGCACAACCACATACGTAATGTGCAACTACTCACTCCAATGCTGTCTACTTGACAAATTGATCCAAAATCGTGATGCACTCCTTATTGCTAGCTGCATTTTCCTGGGATTCATTAGATGACAATCGGCTACGGCTAAGAATTAGTTTCTACACGTTTCTTCCACTTTTAGCTTATCTAACTTCGTGATTAGACTCTTACTACTTTGCAATCGTATGTGAGTACTATCATAACCAATTTTCGTTCCGAAAACCTCTGAGTTTCAGTAATGTTGCATTCGATTGTTCAATAGCTTGATCGCTTTTGTCAGGCATTTCCTGGATACTCTGGCAGGTGGGGTGATTCCGCATGTTCATCCATATTCGGAAGGTTCGGCCTTCCTAATATCAATTGATAGTCAGTAAGTACCGATAGGACGAAGATTCCGTACTAAACCACAAATGCTCCCGATTCCCGGTTAAAACCCAGTGTTGAGTAGCAGTAATAATTCTTTTCTGAAAGTCGGTACAGAATACACACCAGTTTACAGGCGTCATCAGGTTGATACAAATTGTTAGTTAAGACTCAATTCATTTAATCTGAATAAACATGGATTCCAAGTAACTTCCAGGACGAATTTAAATTAGTGAGTATTGAACAATGAGAGCTGTGGGGAATGTAAATAAGTAAATCAGTATTAATACTTTTTACTCCGTAATGCAACGTGGTGTAGGCTGCCAGTTGAAATTCGGGGAACAGGTACTATGAACCACTTCACTCGCGATATAAATGGACTCCTAAGTGACTATAGGACACTGCTTAAGCCACCTATGTACTTGGACTTTATTTCTTTTGTAATTTTATAACGCAAAAATATATTTACGTACTTACTATTATACTTAAATAAGTCTACTAATCACTTTTTAAGTACTTGTCTTGTGGTCGCTTAAGAAATTATCTGACTATATTCGATACCTGACACAGAGTGTAGTCCATCAATATCAGAAAGATGTTCTATTTAAATAAACAAAGGTATACTATGCAATACAGTATAATAAATATATAGAGCGATCTACGAAAACTGTATATAGTTCTCTGGTCACTTCTTGTTTGGCAATTTTTCTGTTGTCGATAGATATATGTCATAACTTAAAAGAGACCTATTCACAACATACTATTAAATATAACGATTGGTAGAGACCGTATTTCAGTCTACTAAAACCGTGGTAATAAATTAAGCGGACCCTTTTGTTTTGGTGCTTGCCTTGTTCTCATTTTACAGTATCGTTTTCTTCTTCGTTGGTCAAATACTGTCCTTTAAAATAAATATTTCCAGCTTCAGCACTTGTCCGCGCATTCTAGCACGTCATACTTGTAATTTTTAGGAGTTTAATCTTCCGCTGAAACTGGCACATGTAGTTCATGACTGACGAATTCCAGAATTAGGAAACAGGGGAGCAATATATTTATTACTGTTCAGTAATCAGTTGTCTCATTCTTTTATTTTTTGGTTACTCTTTTATTATGCTTGCTTTCACTTTGCATTCAAAGTCTTTGTACTCATTTACTTTTTGGTTGAGTGGATCACCCTTATTTCACAAATCCTCCGGGGTAATTGTCACTATATTCGGTCGAGTCTCGAACAGAACGAAAATTGCTGTATTCTGGTATCCGAACCCATGCTCAAATGTATTTCCAGTTTAAAATATATGATGTTAAATGTTGAAATTTATGCCTTTGTGTTACGTTATGAAAGCGTTATTATAAATTTATATTACTTACAAGTAGTATCATTTCGCTTCGAGACTATTGTGTGAACTCGAATTTTTCAATTTTATCTAACCGTGACATTATGATTTATTTTCTTAGCTTTCGGCTGACTCTCATTATGGAAGGGAATTGTCACAGAAGCCATCACCGTTCGCAATTTTCACACGATTAGTCGTCGCAATGGACACACATTAGTGCTCACTTTCTGGCCGGAAAAGAAATGTAAAATTGATCAATTTCGTGACTTTTTCAATCCCATTATTTTTATCTTTATAATATAATCACTGAGTTACTTTCTACATTTTGTTTATTTGTCTTTTGCTTCAGATAAACCCTTAAATTAAAACAATCAAAAGTTTATATTCTAACCATTTTTGTTTAATTGAACGGAATGTCGAAAGTCACATCTGCAGTTCTATTTTTGTATTATATCATCAGTAGATCTAACATAATAATGTAAGTATTAAGTGCTACTTGACTTACGGTGATAAATTATTAAATTTATTTGACATTCATGGCCCTCATACCAGCAGGGGGGACGAGTTTATTTGCATAACGATACAGTATACAACACGAAAACTGAGATGTTCGAAGCCATATTTGCGCATTGAAAAGAAAAACTGGTTGGCTAAAGACGCAACTGGCATTCGAGCTCCGTTATAATTGCGAATAGCTCACATTTGATTATAGTCGACGTAGACATCAAGGGCCTGGATTTCGTATCACATAGCGTCAGAAACCTCATGTCGTAATTCGTGCGAAGTAAGAACTTCCTGTGGAATTCAATTGAGAAGCATTAGGACTAGAAGTATAGAGCGTTAAGAGTCGAAATTTGTTGCAAAAATAAGTAGTCCCTTAAGTCTTAAAAGTCAAAGCTGACCTCATTAGTCCCACTGGACTCATCCTTGCGGATGCCAATCGTCTAAGCATCCGCATCAGATCACGATTGTTTATCCCATGCTACTACTAGCCAAACGCAACTCCATATATCGATAGCTTTCCGAATAAACCTCCTGATAAGTCTTGCGAATTGAACGCTATAATAGTTTCCTAAGCTATTCTGTAACCCCCAAGCTAGAACTATACAGCGACCTGAACACAAGAGAGAAGAAGCAAAGTACGCGAGGAAATACTTTACTCCAAGTTTCATTTTTGTACAGAAAGCACGGGTATTTATAGATGTTAACATTTGTTAAATCAATATCATATCTTAGGCAATCCGCTAAAAGACATGTCATGCTACTGACCAATAGTAACACGCCACGTTGACATTCCAGAAAGCCCCATCATGCTCTGATTGGCTAAGACTATTCGGTTCCTCTAGAGGCTCCGTTGCAGTTGTACGAAAGCCGATTCGACACCTTCCCCGAATAAGATTTCTTCCTAGGATCTACTTGTAGCGTGACATCTGGGTTGTGGCGGCGTCCCATTATCCTTTTCGTCTGCCTTTCCCGAGGCTTATTTTCAGTGTCCTTGGGCATGTGTAGCGTTGGTGTGTCTAAGAAAACTCCAACAGGAAATTTGGCCGGTTTTCTCGAGTCTGCATCGTTCTTTTTTCCTTATGGATTTGATTCGTATGTCGTATACATGTCCCAAAAGATCCTCGGACTCTGTATAGAACTTTTCCCGGCTCCCATCGGTTCTTCCCGATGTAGGATTTAATGAAAACTTCGTCGCCAATATTGAAGCCCCGGATATTTGGATTTTGACTGTGCCCATCCACTAATTTGGATGGCAACAAGGCGTTTAAAACGGTCCGATTACACCTTCCGAGCATGGCTTTGGCAGGGGACTTACCATACGGAACATTTGGGTTCGGAGTGGCTCTGTAGGATGTTAAAAATTTGTGACTACCTGTCCAGTAGTCTCTTCGCCTCCCCCCTTTCAGTAATGCTCGTTTAAAGGTGCCCACAAAGCGTTCTGCTTGTCCGTTCGATTGCGGATGATAGGGCGGAGAACGAAGATGAGTTATTCTATTTGTGCTACAGAAATACCTAAAGGACTCTGCGGCGAATTGCGAGCCGTCATCCGTTACTAAGGTCACTGGTACTTCAACGCAGCTAAACAGGGTAGATAACTTGTGGATTGTTTCTGATGTTGTACAGTTCGTCGTGATATATGCTTCCGGCTATTTAGTAAATGCATCTACGATCATTAGAAACATTGTTCCTTGGATTGAGCCAGCAAAATTTGCGTGAAGTCTTACTCAGGGTCCTGCAGGAGTAGGCCAATACTGAGGTTCACATTTCAAAGGACTTTTAGCGGCTTGAATGCATGATGAACAGTTAAGGCATTTATTCTCGATATCTTTGCCCATTGACAGCCAATAAGCATAACTACGAGCCAACGATTTCATTTTATTGATTCCAGGATGATGACTGTCAAACTACTTGGGAACCTTGTGAAGTAATAACTCCGGGATAGCAATCCGATCACCGAATATAACACACGAGTCGACAACCAGTAGTGAGTTCCGTCGGCGAAAATATTGCAAAAGTTCTCCGTCAAGGCGATTGTTTGGCCATTTGGTTGAGAGTTAGCATTGAACTGTGCTCAATGTCTCATCACTTTCAGTGATCTTCTTGACAGTTTCAAAGGTCACTGGGAGTCCATCGATTGCATCATCCAATACGCGATGAACTTCTTTCTCAGCTTGTTTATTTGCTACAAGAGTCCCCTCTGGGGTTACCGACTGGGAGCCTATTAATCTTGACAATGCGTCAGCTTGTCCGAACGCGGTAGTAGACTGATACTTGATCTTGAAGTCGTAACCCAGAAGTGTGGTTGCCCATCGTTGGAGCCGGTTAGCTTTATGAACAGGAATACCTTTCTTTGACCCAAAAACTGCAAGTAATGGCTTCTGGTCTGTTATTAGGGTAAAATGTCGACCATATATCATCTTATGGAACTTTTTCACTGCAAAGACAAATGATAGGGCTTCTTTCTCAATTTGACTGTAGTTCCTTTCGGTCGTTGTCAAAGATCTGGCAGCGTGTGCGATAGCTTTTTTAGACCCATCAGGAAAAATGTGAGAGATGACTGCGCCCATACCATAGTTAGAAGCATCTGAAGCAACGACTATCGGTAGCGAAGGATCATAATATGTCAATAAGAGATTGGAAGTTGGGAGTTGCTTGATTTTCTCGAAAGCTGCTTGACAGTCGGCAGACCAATTCCATCTTGTATTCTTTTGTAATGGGTGGTTTATTGGAGCACGTAGACAATGGAGATCGGGAAGGAAGGTACCATAATGGCTGACCAATCCCAAGAACGATCGCAGGGTAGTAATGTCCCTGGGTCTAGGCATCTTTCTCACAGCTTCAATGTTCTCTGGACCTGGTCGTCTTCCGTCTTTATCTATTATGAACCCAAGATACCGTACTTGCTGCATATAGAAGTCACACTTTTCCGCTCGAAGGCGAAAACCATAATCGTCCTAGTACCTGGTTCAGTTCCTTCTGCAGGTCCATGTTGTCTGCTGTCATAATTATGATGTCGTCTAAATAAGCCTCTGCCCCTAGAATACCTTGTAGCACGCTATCCATAATTTGCTGGGAAATAGAGGGCGCTGTTTTCACCCCAAAAGGTAGTCGGTTATACCGAAACAGACCTTTGTGTGTGTTGATCGTCAGGAGATCTTTGCCCTCATCAGATACCGGGATTTGTAAATACGCGCCTGATAAGTCCAATTTCGCAAAATATCTGCCACCGTTCAGCTTAGTGAAAAGATCTTCCGGTAAGGGTAACGGATATGCCAGTTGTGTTGTTGGGAGAACTGTGGGACTTCCAAGGTTCCTCCAAGTTTCTGGGCTGATTAGAGTAATATCAGAATCTATATCAAGCGGAGGGGGAGTACGGTGTTTATTAATATCCAAGGTTACGTACTTTCATTGGCGGCAACTTTGTGCTTGATTATTTGATACCAATATTCTTTTTGTTAATGCGCAAGACCTGTATTTTTTGGAGTAGGGTTTTTCAGAATATCGTTTTTGGTTTCTTTTTCTGCAGGTGGTTTCTATATGGCCCTTTCGATGGCACTTACTGAGACAATGTTCTTTATACGGGCAGAACTTATAGTGCCAGCCTCCACATGCCCAGCATGGAGATGATGGTTTATCGCTGTCATTACGATAATTCCGCGTGCTGGAACCTTGTGAGACTTTTTTCTCGACTGCATTGACATGAGAGAACCGGTTGCCGTTTTCTATCATCGAGGTATCATGCTTCAGATTGACTTACCTTTGGCATTCGGTAGCTACTTCCTGCAAGGTCACGTTGGGGCAATGTTGGAGTTCGCCTAGGATTCTCGTTCGGATGTCAGCATCCTCGTGTGAACGCAGGCTACAGATAAATACCAAGCATTTAAACTGGTCTTCAGACATTGAAGACAATTTGAACCTCTCACATTCTCGGTTCACAATTCCTGCATGTTCTACCCAGTCATCTCCTGGTTCGTTCGTTATCTTTAAGCGTTGATAACGGATATTAAATGGAGATGATTGTTCTCCAAAGATTTGAGACAGGGTTTTAACTGTTTCATCAAAACTAAAGTCTCTTGGATTCTTCGGGAGAATGAAGTTGCTGTAGCGTTCATGTCCCATAGTCCCAAGTTTTCTCAGAAGTATTCTGACATTTGAAGCGTCATCCAGTTTGCAGTCCTTAAACCAAGACTCAAAAGTTACACCTACTACACCATCGAAATTAAATTCATGGATGGCGTTAATGACTGAAACAGTATGTGATACTTGTAATTCATCAGAAGCAGGGTTTCTGCATCAGGGCTTCCATGATTCTGATTTGGGACTCTTCAGACCTCTTTTCTTGACGCACCATATAGGCTTCTAGTTGCTCTAAGGAAATATTCATCATAGTTTTCCCGTCGACACTGATAAGTCTTGCGAATTGAACGCTATAATAGTTTCCTAAGCTATTCTGTAACCCCCAAGCTAGAACTATACAGCGACCTGAACACAAGAGAGAAGAAGCAAAGTACGCGAGGAAATACTTTACTCCAAGTTTCATTTTTGTACAGAAAGCACGGGTATTTATAGATGTTAACATTTGTTAAATCAATATCATATCTTAGGCAATCCGCTAAAAGACATGTCATGCTACTGACCAATAGTAACACGCCACGTTGACATTCCAGAAAGCCCCATCATGCTCTGATTGGCTAAGACTATTCGGTTCCTCTA